AGCCCGCTGAATACGTTTGAGTAGTTGCGCCGCTCGGCGGGCGGCAGCCGGCCGTCGGCCTGCATCCAGTTCGGAAGTGTCTAGATGGTGTCTAGGAAGTGTCTAGGAAGTGTCTAGGAAGTGTCTAAGCAGCCGGCCGTCGGCCTGCATCCGCACCAGCGTCACCTCGACCGGGTTGGACAGGAAGGCCGCGGTGCCGCCCGCGACGCACCCCAGCCCGAGGGTCGCCCACGCGGGGGGCGGGGCCGGCGACGTGCCGTACAGCGCGTCCTTGAGCGACGAGTAGATGCCCAGGCGGAGGTTTCCGTAGGAGAGCTGCCGCGCCGCCGCCGCAGAGAGGCCCGCGTAGAGGCCGGCGACGCCCTCCGCCTGCACGACCTGCCTGGCGACTGCGGAGACGCCCGCGCTCTTCTGGCCGCCCTCGCCCATCAGCTGCTGCCGCACCTTGAGCACATCCATCGGGTGGACAAACATCCACCCGCTCAGCGCCGCGCTCGCGCCAGTCACAAAGTTGACCCACCACGGGCGCGCCTTCGCCGGCTCAGCGGCGGCGAGGGCGGCAAAGGGCGGCTGCGTGGAGCGGGCAATATCACAAGGCGGAGACATGGCCGTGCGCGTGCGCGTCGCGCGCGAGGCGGCAAAGGGCGGCGGCGTGGAGCGGGCAATATCACAAGGCGGAGACATGCCGTGCGCGTGCGCGTCGCGCGTCGCGCGTGGTGAGGCAACGTGGCACGGGCAGCGTTCGGACTTTTGGGGGCGTGTGTACTTGTGACGTGAAAACCCGCTGGGACCGGGCGTGTGTACTTGTTACGTGAAAACCCGCTGGGACCCGGACGCCAGCACACACGGCTAGATTTCATGGCGGGCCGCCTAGGCCCTGGGGTCGGAGGCAGAGTCGGCGGGGGTGCCGCGCGCGGCGCGGGCTTCGCTGTCGGGGGCGTTTAGGGCGGGGTCGGGGAAGGAGGGTGGGGTCGGTCGCATTGGCGGCCGCGCGGCAGTGGCTGCGGGGGGGGCGGGAGGAGCTGGTGGCGCCGACCGCTATGGCGGCCGAGGCCGCGACGTCGAGCGCCGGGCGAGATCGCGAGGGTCGAGGGTGAGCTCGAAGCCGAGGGGTGCGGCCGAGTTCTGGATGGTGAGGGCGTCGGCGGGCACGATGGCGGCGGATGTTTTTGCTGCCGCGGCCGCGCCGCGAGCTCGCTCATGTTTTGGCGCCGACGACGCGACGCGCCCCGCTGCGTGAGATGGCGCCGCCGCGGAGTCGGCGCCGCGTTCAACCGCCTGCCAGCGGCGAGCGGCGCAGCGCGGCCACCATGCGGCGCGACGTGCCCGCCGGACGTTACTTTTCTTTTTGTCCAAACTGAGTCACGGTAGTCGGTGGGCGACTCGTCCCACGCCGCTCTAGGCGCGCGCAATCTGACTTGGCGTGTGATGAGGGAGCAGGACGAGGCCAGCGACGCCTCCAGCGCAGGCACGGCCTCCCCAGCAGCGTCGCTTCTAGCGGCGGACACCGCGGGCGAGGCTCGCACCGCCGGCAACCTGCGAGCGGTGGCTGCCGCCTGCATAGCAGGCATCGGGCCATTCATCTTTGGCTACACGCTGGGTTTCACGTCTCCTGCGCAGCTCCCGATGGAGGTTGGCGCCAGTGGGCCGTTTGGCGCCGTCCTCGAGTCGCACCTCGACGCAGATGGCGCCGTAGCGTCGTCGCAGGCCGCGCTCTTCGGCTCGATTGTCAACGTGGGGGCGATGCTCGGCGCGCTGGTGGCGGGTCCGCTCGCAGACAGCATCGGCCGCCGCCTCACCATCGCGGCCGCCGCGCTGCCGTGGATCCTCGCGTGGTCCGCCATCGCTTTTGGACGCACCTTTGCCGAAGTGCTCGCCGATAGACGGACAGAGGGGAAGGGCGAGACGCTGGAGCGACACACAGAGAGAAAGACACTGCACTCGGCGATCTGGCCGCCAGCCAGGTTTGGATCCACGCGCTGCCGGCGTCTCTTCACAGCTCGCGGCTGTGAACAGGTGCTCGCCGGCCGGCTGCTGTCTGGCGTTGCGGTCGGCGTCGCCTCGATGGCGGTGCACTCTACACCTCGGAGACGGCTCCCACCTCCACCCGCTCCTCACACCGCCGCCAACGTGAACCAGGTGCCTCTGTACATCTCGGAGACGGCTCCCACCTCCACCCGCTCCTCACACCGCCGCCAACGTGAACCAGGTGCCTCTGTACATCTCGGAGACGGCTCCCACCTCCATCCGCGGCGCGCTGGGCGCCGTCAACCAGCTGGCCGTCACTCTGGGCGCCCCTCCTAGACACGTCTCAGCCCTCTCCTGGACACTTCCTGGACACTTCCTGTCCTCCTCTCAGCCTTTACACACGCGCCGGGCGACGTCTCGGAAAGGTCCACGAACTGTCTAGGCATCTTCGCGGTCTATCTGCTCGGGGGTCTGCTCCAGTCACAGCAGCCAACTAACCTGATGTGCCCCGCCTCCGCCTCCGCCTCCGCCTCCGCCTCCGCCTCCGCCTCCGCCTCCGCCTCCGCCTCCGCCTCCGCCTCCGCCCCCGCCTCCGCCTCCGCCTCCGCCTCCGCCTCCGCCCCCGCCTCCGCCTCCGCCTCCGCCTCCGCCTCCGCCTCCGCCTCCGCCCCCCCCGCTTCCCTCCGTCGCGTCGTCTCGAGCCTCGCGACGGCGGCGACTCCCGCGCCTTGCCCCGCCCCTCTCACATGCTCTTCCGGCGGCGTGTGCGAGGGAAAGCTGGCGCCGTGGCGGCACCTGGCGCTCGCTGCCACGGGCCTCGCCGTCGCCCTCCTCCTCTGCGCCCTTCTCCTGCTCGAGCAGTCGCCTAGCTCCCCTCCTCCTCTTCACACCTCCAGCTGTGAACAGGCGCCCTGCTGCTGCTCGAAGAGTCGCCCTCGTATCTCGCACGGCGCGGCAGGGTGGAGGCGGCGAGGCGGGCGCACGGCCTAGTCCGCGACATGTCCACGGCGTGTCCTGCAGGCGCGGCAGGGTGGAGGCGGCGAGGCGGGCGCACGGCCTAGTCCGCGACATGTTACATGTCCACGGCGTGTCCTGCAGGCGCGGCAGGGTGGAGGCGGCGAGGCGGGTGTTGTCGCGGCTGCGCTCGAGCGCTGCGGAGGTCAAGCGTTGCAGTCGCCCGAGACTGAGCCGAGATCGAGCCGAGATTGAGTCGAGATCGCGCCGAGATCGAGTGCCACAGAGGCGCCGGTGGGGCGCACGGCGAGGGTGTGAAGAGGCGCCGTTCACACCTCGAGCCGTTCTCAGGCGTCGGAAGAGCTCAAGGCGCTGGTGCGGGGTGGGAGGGCGGAGGGGGGAGTGGAGACGGGAGAGGGCGGCGGAGGCGGAGGCGACGACCAAGCGGACGGAGGCGACGGCGGCGGCGGCGGCGGCGGCGGCGGCGGCGGAGGCGCGTCGTTGCGGCTGCTGCTTGGGCGTGGCGTGCGGCGGCAGTTTGGTGTGGGCTGCGTGTGATCGAGCTCACAAGTTGCGGCTGCAGAGCTGTGAGGCCGCTCGCTGTGAGCAGGGCTTGGCTGCGTGCTGATGTTTGTGCAGCAGTTCTCCGGCATCAACGCCGTCATCTTCTACTCTGCCTCCATCCTGCAGGAGAGCATCGGCCAGCCTTGGGTAGCCTTGGGTCGGGCAACCTCGGGCAACCTCAGGCAACCTCAGGTGATCTCGGGTGACTTCGGGTGATCTCGGGTGATTTCGCTGCTTTGCAGGCCGGAGGCATCGACGACCCAAACACGGGCGGTTTGTTGATCATGGGTGTGCAGGTGGTGATGAGCCCTGGAGGGATGTGGGGAGATATGGGGAGATATGGGGAGATATGGGTGTGCAGGTGGCGATGACACTTCCGAGACATTTCCGAGACACTTCCATGGGTGTGCAGGTGGTGATGACGGCGGTGGCGGTGCTGCTGATGGATCGCGCCGGCCGCCGCGCGCTGCTTCTCGTCTCCCTGGCGGGCATGTGCTTCTGCGCGGCTGCCATGGGCGCGTTCCATCTCAACGCGCAGCGGCCGACCTGGCTAGTACCACACCTCCAGAGTATCGAATCCAGTGTGGGTTCCGTGGGTGGTGTGGTGTGGGAGGAGCGCAGCGGCCGACCTGGCCCGCTCCCGCCCCACCTCTCTCGTCGGGTGCATCGCCAAGACGCGTCCAGACACGCCCACGAACCCCCCCGCCCCTCATTTGGAAGGCTCGCCCTCGCCTCCCTCGTCGGCTACATCGCCTCTTTCTCGCTCGGCCTCGGCGCCGCCCCTTGGCTGCTGGCGGGCAGGCGGCTGGCGCTCGAGACAGGGCTGACTCGGGTGAGGCGGTGCACTAGGCGCCCCTCCCCGTGGCTGCTGGTGGGACAGCTTGGTGCGGGGAGCGCACACCCCATGCCGTGAACAGGCGCCATCCCCTGGCTGCTGATGGGCGAGCTGTTCGCGGCCGACGTGCGCGCGCTCGCCGCCTCGATGGCCACACTGCTCAATTGGGCCTTCTCCTTCACGATGACGCTCGTGTTTGCGCAGCTCAACGCTGCGCTGGGACCCGCCGGCACCCCCCTTCCTCTTCTCGGCCATCTCGGGCAATCTCGGGTCATCTCGGGTCATCTCGGGCCCGCAGGCACCTTCTTCCTCTTCTCGGCCATCTGCGCCGCCGGCGCCGCCTTTGTGGCGGCGTGCCTCCCCGAGACAAAGGGGCGGAGTCTGGCGGAGGTGCAGGCGCTCTTTGGCAGCGAGGCGAGCTAGAGCAGGCTCGAGCACAGCGACACCCATCCGTCGAGCGGCGTGCAAGGTCTGGGCCGAAGGTCTGGGCTCCAGCCCCGGCGGGACAGGTTCAACATCCTGAGCCCCACCGTGGTCATGGGAGGAGGCGCCGCTCGGTGTGTACGGGCGGTGCAAGGCGCACGAGCTCACACAAACGACTGCGCGGGCGTGGGCGACGACGTGCGAGAGGTGGGCGTGCAGCGCGTCGAACACGCACTACTGAAATCATGCGGCTGCAAGTCACGCGGCTACGTTGGTCGTTGCACGTTGGGTATCGTGTCACCTTTCATTTTTTAAAAGAAAGAATTTTAGAAAGAAAACAGGTAACAGACAGCCCAAACGAACGGAGGGATGGGGGACAGGGTCCCCACCTGCACGAGCAGGATTTTGGGAGACGGCGGGCACGTCGCCCCTGCCATGGTGCGCGTAGCTATGACAGGGAGACCGCGGGTCCGCGCGCCGCGGAGCCGGCGGCGGACGGGGCTGGCGCGCAAGCGCCGGCCACCACGTCGGGCTGCCGCGGGAACGCGCCGCGGAGACCCTGGAATCGCTTCGATCGCGCGCACATGGAAGACTGCCTCATTGCCGCAAGGCTCGCAGGTTGGGGGAGGATGGATCGAGCTCTTCGATGCTGGCGCCGTCGTCGGGCGAGGTGGAGGGCGGTGTAGCCGACGATGACGCAGTGGCGCCGACCGCCGTTACCGGTTGCCGTTGAAGACGATGCAGCAGATGACGACGCAGCGGCACCGTTGCCGTCGCCTGTGGCTGGGCGTAGGTGGTGATCGTGCCGGGGCTCAGGACGACGGGCGGTTGGAGAAGGACGCCGGGATGGGCTGGCGTCGCCTCCCCTTCAAACGGGTACCAGAAGTCGAGTAGGATCTGGGTCGAGGTCCGGATTCGCCCGAGGCGCCCACCTCGGCGCTCACGTTGCGCGGCTTGAGGCCGGCGGCGCGCGGGTCGAGGTCCACGCCGAAGGGGGACGGAGCCGAGGGCGGGCGAGGAGGGGCGCCCTGCGCCCTGCGGGTTGCGACCTGGGCGCGGTACGTGCGCAGGCCCGCCGCGACCTGGCCGGGGAAAGGCCTGTCGTGGTAGTAGACGGTGTTGAAGAAGTGCGCGGGGGAGCCCACCTCGGCCGTCTGCCGCAGCCGCCGGAGGAAGCCGCCTCGCCCGCCGTCCGCCTCGGCCGGGCCCCACCTCTTGTGGCGCTGGTCCCCGTGGGTGTCCAGCGCGCGCGGGCGGGGCGCGCACCATGCTGCTTGAAGGTCCGTATTGGTGCCCGCCGTATGGCGCTTCGAGAATTCTTTTGTTGTAAAATTCTTTTCTTCGGCGCTCGCTCGGGGAGCCTCGGCGCGGCGGCAGGCGAGGCTCCTCGCCTCGAAGCGCCGGGACAGGCTCGCCGACCTGTCGAGGCGACCATTCGGGGCGGCGCTGGCCTGCCTGCCCCATCGCCAGAGCCGCGGCGCGGCGATCCGCCGGCAGGCGACGGTCCTGCCCGAGGGCGTCGCGAGCTACTACGCGAGACCCGAGGGCCCCACACGCCTCGACGTCGCCTCGGCTACATCGGCACTGCTCGGGGCCGCGACGGAGATATTCGCTCGCCTGGCTGGGGCCCGCCGGCTAGGCTACAGCCCCACACACGCGCCCGCCATAGCTCCTGGAGAGCATGCGCGAGTGACGCGCTACAAGCCGCGAGAGTGGCATCAGAGGCAGGAACGACGTGCTCTTGCTGCACCTCGCAGCTGCACCGAGTGTGCTCGCAGTATATGCCACGGCCGCCGCGCCTGCGGCATTGCTCTCGTGCAGCTAGGCGACGCAGGTCCATCAGCAGGGCTCATCCAATGCGCGAGCGCACATTGTCCGTAGCCGCGGGCAGGTGGCAGTGCACAGCCGCACACCGGCTGTGGCGGCTCGAATGCCCCCGGCAGCAATGCTGGTCATTAACTTGCGTATTGGGGCCGCAGCAGACTGCTGCTGTGGCAACAGCAGCAGCCTGCTGCTGCCTGATTCAGTCAAGCCAGCGGTGCAGCGAGGCGTGCAGAATTCGCGCGGTTTTGTCCCTCCTGAGGCTGAGCGCGTTCAGACCCGGTGACCGGAGTTGGATGGTTCGATGGAGCGAGCTCCATCGAACCATCCATGGCCGGACGGCGGAGCGTGAGGTGGCGAGCGGAGAGATGTACCGCAAGACGAGAAAAACACGGATCTGAACACGGGCCTCACGCGATGTCCTGATCGTCTCGTCGTCGCCAGTGGCTGGGTCTTCTGGCTCCGACCGGACGGCTCCAACGCCCAGCATCTGAGACATGAACGCGAGGTCAAATTCTGGCACGTACGGCGGCAGCTCGGGCATCTGCCTCTGCCCCCTCGCCGCATCAGCGAGCGCGTTCGTGTCAGCTCGCCGCTGCTCCTGGTGCCGCTGCTTGGCCGCCGCGCTCGCACTCGCTCCCCTCAACGACAATTGTGAGGAAGCAACGGTCTGCGAGAACCTTTCGCCCAGCGGGTCCACCACAGAGTTCTCCCAGTCATGTGCCCAAAATGCGCCCGCCGTTTTTCGTCATATCCCCCCTCCGAAACCCGCCGACTTTGATTGGGTCCGGTTCAACCTCACTCTCATCTCTATACTTTCAGATACAAAACGTCAGATCTGGCTCACCCAGGGCTGGAGCCTGGACCTAGTCCGCTCACGCCCGCGTACCTTAGCTAAGATACGCGCGCACGGGCGTGGGTGGGTAAAAACGGGTCACTTTGCGGGGTTTGCACACGGCCACTCTGCACCGACCTCAGCGGCTGCAGTTGCGACCGCAGTTGCTCAGCTCAGCCAGGGCTCGCTCACCCGAGCTCGGAGCCGCCGTCGGTCATGGGCAGCAACAAATTGACGCGTCGGCTCCGAGATCGGCCGAGATCAGCCACGGAGTGAGCCGAGATGAGCCGAGGAGCCGAGAGGAACCGAGAGGAACCGCGGGGAGCCGACAGGAGCCGAGGTCAGCCGAGGTCAGCCGGGGAGCCGAGGTTGGCCGAGGTTGGCCGAGGTTGGCCGAGGTGAGGAGAATGCCGCATCGCCGAGGATTGTTGAGCCGAGGAGGGCCGAGGAGAGCCGAAGAGAGCGGGGAAGAGGAGAGTCTAAAGTCGCCGATGTGCTAGTCGATGTGCTAGCCGATCGCCTAGCCGGGGAGGGCCGAGAGGAGCCGACATGCTAGCCGAGGTGAGCCGAGATATACTGCCTCGGCAGTGCCGGCGGCGGCCGCCCTCTTCGCCATCCGCGAGACAGCGCGCGACCTGGGGTTCGTCAGCCGAGAGTAGTTGATTACCGACCCGCGCACGGACGCACCCCCGACAGCGCGGCGAGACCCGTCCTTTCCCATGCGAGGCCCGGCCGGCTGCAGCGCCAGCTCGCGCACCTAAGGCAAGGTGAGGTCAGATCAGGCCGTACCTCGCCTCCCCCGCACCGACCCGACCCCGCACACTCCGGTGGCGAGACGCAGTCCGCGCGGTGGGCGGGGGCGGGGGCGGCGGCAACTTCGCCCGCACCCGCCACCGCTCGCAACTAAGCTCGGCGGATCTCGGCGGATCTCCCGCACCAGCCACACAATGAATCTCGCCCAACCTCGGCGAATCTCGGCTCATCTCCCGCACCAGCCAGTGCTCGTCGCGGTGCACGAGCACGCGCCGCCTACGCAGACCCCGCCATGTGAAGAGACGCCGCTCACAACCAGTGCACGCCGCGGTGCAACCGCTCTCGGCACCCGCCGCCGCTGCAGCGAGCCGCCGCCACACCGCCGCCGCCCCGCTGTTCGCACTTTCCGTCGCCACTGCAGTCGCCGCCTCCGCCTCCACCATCGTCCTGGACGTCGTACGCCACGCCACCGCCGCGCTGTTTGCACTCGCCACCGCCATCTCCGCCTTCGCTTCCGTGCCCACCTCCCTCGCCGTCCCCGCACTTGCACGGCCTGCACTCGTCATCGCCGCTTCTGCCTTCGCCTCCGTCCCCGCCTCCTCCGTCCAGCCGAACGTCGTACGCCACGACGCCGCCCGCCATGCCGCCAGCCCCCTTCAGAAGGACGTCCACGGCGCGGACTGTGCCTGTTCACGGCCGGCGGCCGTGAAGAGACGCTGTTCACGGTGGCGACCGCTCGGCGAAATCTCGGCAAAGTCTCGACGCAATCTCGGCACAATCTCGTGCGGTATCTCCGGCATCTGCAGCCGGTCAGACAGGAGGCTAGACGCAATCTCGGCGCAATCTCAGGCGCAATCTCGGCACAATCTCAGGCGCGATCTCGGCGCAATCTCGTGCGCCTGCCGCCCAGTCAGACAGCAGACCAGACGAGTCCTCAACGGCGCACGAGACACGATCGCCGACGCCGAAGCGGCGCCCGCCGGCGCACGCAGCCTCTCTCGCCGCACCCCGCCGCGGCGCCGCCACCCGCGCCGGCCGGCACGACTCGCTCTCTGAGCAGCGCTCGCTATCTGAGCAGCGGGCTGCGTCGCACCGTCGCCTCGCGGCCTGCGGCAGGCTCATACGCGTGAACCTGTTCACAGCATCGCGGGTGTGAACAGACGCCCTCCACGGCTGCCGGCGGCGGAGCAGAGCTAGTCTCGCGCCGCCGCCACGGATACCTCTAGCCGGGGGCGTGATGTGTGGGCCGGCATCGAAGAGAGAGAGAGGCATTACTTGTCCGTCTCGGGTAATCTCGGGTAATCTCGGGTAGTCTCAGGCATCAGAAGGAGTTCTGGGTGAGAGCAGAGGCCTCTGGGTGATCTCAGCTGCGAGGCTCCAAGTCGTCTGCTCTCCCTCCCTCCCTGTACATGACTTGCTAGCGGGACCCGAGTATTGTACACCAGAACTGCGCGAACTAGCTGGTAAGGCATATCGGTTCCCTAGCGCTCGCTTGGTCTTGCGCATCTAAGAAGAGTGAACCAGAGGGCGCCCGCCCGCTGGCCAAAGCAGACCTCGGCGCGGATCAGGTCGTTGCTGTCCTGCGGCACCGACACGAGCCGAGCCGTTGGCGGGTCCGTCAGCACGATATAGGCGAACTTTCGCCGCCCTGAGCCGTCGTCCGGGTCGGGCTCGTGGACAGCGTGCACCACGCCAGCCTCCCACGGCCGCGCACCACCAACGTTGCAGACGACGCGGTCGCGCCGGACAAAGCGGGCCGGCAGCGACGCGCTCACGGCGCCGCGGATGCGGCCGCGGTCGGCGGCGGTCAGCGTCAGCCGGTTGTTTGATGCGAGCATCTCGAAGAAATTCTGCAGTAGCTCGAGCTTGACAGCGCTCCGCTTTGGCCCGCACAGCCTGCCCGCAGGGTCGCACGCGGCCAGCTCGGCCGTGATGGCGTCGTCGAGAGACTCAAGAAGGCGGACCTCGCTCGGCGTCAGCGAGGCCATGGGAGTGGAGCGGCAGCCTTTTTTCTGATTAGCCTTCGATGTTCGACTCTCGGGCCAACAGACATCCCGCACACCCGCCGCACACCCGCCGCCCCCGCGCGCGCCCCACCTCGGCCGGGAGAAAGGGGAGTGAGAGTTTGGGATTACGAGCCCGAGTATGTTGAGTCCTGGCTCAACAACGCAGGGAACAAGAGGGGGTGGTCCGGCTCACAAGTCCGGCTCACGCGCCCCGAGCTCGCCATCTACCGCACTGAACACTTCCGCCCCCTCGCTCCCAACCCACCCACCTCGCCTCGGGCCGCGCCGCGCGATCTCGGGCGATCTCGCGCTATCTCGGGCGATCTCGGAGCGTCGCTCACACGCAAGACGCGCAGTTCGGACTCGGACACGGAGGCTACGCTCCGATCCCCCCCCACACAACAGGAACACAGACGCTAGGCAACACAGAGGCCTCTCAGGCGTCACAGCAAGACTCATCCACACAGGGATGGAAATCCACACACAACGTCATCATCACAATGTCATCAGTCGCATGGGAAGCGGAGGGTGGGGCGACGAAAGATAAGTAGGAGAGGCGAGCTGATCGCAGACCGGCGGCTCGCACAAGGAGTGAGCAGTGTGAGCCGCGGGACGTAATCCGCCCGCCGAGATTCACCAGACGGATCCGTCTGTGAATAGAATGTCAACATGAGGTCAGAGACCAACAGGGCAGGCTCGACCGAGCGATCGTCCAGCTCTTCCCCTCAGCAGAGCGGGCGAGATCTGCGCCGAATTTTGCAATCGATTGCTCTGCCGCCGCTGCTCGATGAGCTGGCCGAGGTAGCCTTTCCGTCGCCGCTCATGGAGCTGCGCAGATTCTTCCGCGGTCCTGCGAGCGCCTTCAAGGTGTTCCTGGACGATGCGTGCGGCATGCCTTCCAACTGGCGCGAGACATGGAGCGACTCAAAGCAGTGGGGCCTCTGGGGGAACCAGCACTGGCCCACCAAGTACGGCGCGCAGGGCTTCATCCCCCATATGGTCGACAACTCTCCCTTCGTCACGGCCAACTGGAGCGAAGCAGCTGCGTCAATCGTCGTGCTGTTCGCACGGCACCAAGCGTCTGGGGTGGCGATCGGCCAACAGCAGTGCCTGCAGCGCCTCGAGACCCGCTCGCCTGCGTGGCGAGCGACGCGCGGCGCGCGCCATTTTTTTATCTTCACCGATTCGCGAGGACCGTGCTGCCTCGGCGGCCAGTACAAGGACGTGAGCTTCCTTGGGCACCATATCATCGGCCCACATGCGGAGCCGGTGGGCTTGCGTACCTTCACCCGCAACGGCCTCGCGCCGCCGATAAGCTGCTACGACGCGCGCAAGGACGTTGGTATTCCAACGCCCAACATCCACTTCCCGCGCACGCCCTACGCTGGTCCGCTGCTCGCGCGCACTGCGGCGGCGGCGACGGCTCGAGTGCGCTCAGCACCATCGCGTAAGCTGCTAATGTTCTACGCGGGGTGGAACTACGGCGAGCGCATGGCACTCGTGAAAACGTACCGCAACGACTCTGACCCACGCGTGCTTGTGCGTAGCTCGGTGCCATCGCGTGAGTACGCGGCGAACATGCTCGATGCGCGCTTCTGCCCCGTGTGCGGAGGGTACTCACAGTGGACGCCTCGGCTTGCGGAGGCGTTGCACTACGGCTGTGTGCCGGTCATCCTGTCGGTGCATCTCGAGCCTCCGTGGTCCGAGCTGCTCGACTGGAGCACCTTCAGCCTGCGAGTCCACCCGAGCCAGATCCGATCGCTCAAGCAGACGTTGCTCCGCGCCGAGCAGGAAAACTACGAGGCGCTGCACCGCGGCGTGCTGCGCGCGCGTGCCGCGCTCGAGTACCACCTTGACGAGTACACCGGTCGCGACATGCTGCCGCTGCTGCTGTGGCAGATGCACCGCCGGCTGCTCGATGGACCGCCGGCAGCGCCTCGCGGCGTGCGCCAAGTGTACAACGATGTGAGGACGGACCACGACTACAGCGCCGCACTTGCTCATGCACGCGGCAGGGCGGCGCACGTCGTGGAGGCGCACGCTGAGCTGACGGTGGAGACGGAGGAGGGTAAGCAGCGGTGGCAGTGCTCGACTTACGATGCCTGCATGTGTTCGTGTGTCAAGTGGACTGACGAGCTAGACGATGTGCTGCTGACGGCGATCGAGATCGAGGGCAACCGCTCCGTCTCGCCGCTGTGGCGCGCGCGCCGCTCCTCCTTTGAGGAGAGCAATGCGTGGATGCAGCTGATGCGCCAAGTGCGCTCGACTGCTGGCAATCAGGGCAGGCGGCACCGTCTCACGGACGGCATCGGCGCATCGCCGAACCTCGCTCTCGCCATCCGCCGCCATGCGTACCATCTTCTCAGCCAGACGGGACGAGCCGCGCTCCCCTCGACACGGCTTCGTGACGTCTCCGCGCGCATCGCAGCCGTCGCGGAAGAGGTGCCGGCGGCAGATGGCACCGATCGGACCAGCAGGCGGCGGGTGGCAGGCCCTGAGTGACCACCTTGAGGGGGTGCTGCATCAAACCCGCCACGCAGTTTTCTCGCCTCAGACCCTCTCACGCTCTCACCTCCGCGAGCAGGGCCCGCCCCTCGCTCAGCAACGACACCCCAATTATTTTGCGCTGTGAAAATAACGCCACCACAGCATAGAAAGCGCGATCGCAATGCACGCGCGCTTTTCATTACAAATGCGAACATGTATGCACATCGACATTTTGAAACGGGGCCCGTGCCCAGAATCCAGTGAGCAGTGACAGTGTACTAGTACTGGCCCCACGCGCGCGCCCCTCAGCTACACGGCCACGCCCCAGTGCCAGTGGTCAGCCTGTCAGCCAGTGTGCTCACTGCTCAGCCTCAGTTACGTGTCCCGGTTGTCGGCGCAACACGACAGTTAACTGTATTTTAATCATCACAGAACCACTGGTGGGAGATGAAGGAGTAGGAGTGTCTGGGTCTGGGACTCGTCAATCGTCATGCCGCGCCTCTGCTCGCAACCACTCATCCAATGAACTGTCGTCACCCATGAGTGCGAGATAGGGCTGGCGGCTGGCCGCTAGCCTGTGAGGAGGGCGTCCATAGACACCTCACAAGACCCCACACACGGTCTCGTCCGTGCCTTGCGGCCGGCGACTAGATTGCTAGAGGCAGAGCAAGCCTGCTCTAGTCTCACACGTTCGCCCCTGTCGCCTGTCTGTGTTGTTGTGCTGTCTTGGAGTGCTGGGGGGGGCGACAGGGGGGACGTGGCCTGAGTGATGTGTACGCCCACTCAGGATGTGTGGCAGCCACGCTGGCTGTGTGTCTTGTGAGCCTGTTTGTGTCTGTGTGCGGCAGGGCAGACGGTGTGGTCGAGCTCCCTTGCGCCCCGTGCGGTGTGTTAGGCGGCGCTTCGGTGGCGGTGTAGCCGCCGAGTAGGGGCGAGTGAAGCCCGGCATCGTCTACGCCTGAGTAGGGGCGAGTGAAGCCCGGCATCGTCTACGCCTGACTCCATAGGTACACTGACCTGCTTTCGACAATACAAAAGACAAGAAAAGGGACGGACGGATCACGCGGGAAAAGATATTACGCGGGGCAGGTGTGAAACGGGCTACCCCGACATGGGGGTAGTCGCACTGTGTGTCGCTCGTGCGTGTCGTCATCATCTGTCTCGCGTCCACCCATACCGCGTTGGTGCGTGTCCAGTCCGAGCCTGACTGTTCTTCACCTTCCTACATACATACCGATACCGAGACTGAGGTGGGCGCGCTGCGGTCGCACGTCTAGGCGGAGGGGAGGGTGGGGTCTAGCGTGCCAGGCTGGTTGGGGGCGAGGGGGTGGCCACTGCTGCCGCCTCCTTTCAGGGCGGCGGGCCGCCTTTTGGGCCGTCCGACGGCGTTGATGTGGGGGTGAGGGGTCTCCTTGTGCACCCGGAGCCCACATCAGCGCCGTCTAGCCGCCGAAAGGCGGAGTGGAGGGTGGCGTCTAGCGTGCCAGGCTGGTCGGGGGCGAGGGGGTGGCCACTGCTGCCGCCTCCTTTCAGGGCGGCGGGCCGCCTTTTGGGCCGTCCGACGGCGTTGATGTGGGGGTGAGGGGTCTCCTTGTGCACCCGGAGCCCACATCAGCGCCGTCTAGCCGCCGAAAGGCGGAGGGGAGGGTGGGGTCTAGCGTGCCAGGCTGGTCGGGGGCGAGGGGGTGGCCACTGCTGCCGCCTCCTTTCAGGGCGGCGGGCCGCCTTTTGGGCCGTCCGACGGCGTTGATGTGGGGGTGAGGGGTCTCCCCGGGCACCCAGAGCCCACATCGACGCCGTCTAGCCGCCGAAAGGCGGAGGGGCGGGTGGGGTCTATGTAGCTAGCGTTCTTGGCGAATGTCTCGAAATGGCCAGCAGGCGCTGTCTGCTCGCGGTCTGTGCGGGCCGCTCGTCCTCCTCGCCCTTCTTTCGTCCTCCCGTCCCTCCCCTCCACCATGGCCTTCTCGGCACTTCTTTCTCCATCCGCCTCGCCCTGCCTTTTCGCATCGTGCCGTTCGCCCTCCATTCGGTGACCTCCATGGCTGTCCGCCCCTTTTTGGGTGGCGCTCTCGATACGGTTGCGTCAACCTCGACGTCGCTGTCGCCCTCCCCGTCCCCGCCGGCGTCCGTGCCTCGGTTCGCGTCATCGGTAGCGTCTCCGTTGTTCCCTCGTGCCCCGCCGTCGCCCTCTCTGCTCGGGCCGTTAGCGATTTCGCTCCTCCTGCGTGTCGCCCCTCCGTCCCCTCCCCTTTCTTCGTCGTCATCGTCGCTGTCGCGAAAGCCCTCCGGTCCCTCGATTCCCTCGCCTATCCCCTCCGCTGCGTCGTCCCAGTTTATATCCTCATCCTCTGCGCACGTCGCGTTGGCTTCCTCTCTCCCCCTTTCCTCCCTGCCCCTCTCGCTGTCTGGTGTTAATGGACCCCCTTCCTCTCCCTCGCCACCGTCACCGTCTCCATCCCCGTCGCTACCGCCCTCCATGCCTTGTGCACCCTGAGCCCACATCAGCGCCGTCTAGCCGCCGAAAGGCGGAGGGGCGGGTGGGGTCTAGCGTGCCAGCCTGGTCGGGGGCGAGGGGGTGGCCACTGCTGCCGCCTCCTTTCAGGGCGGCGGGCCGCCTTTTGGGCCGCCCGACGGCGTTGATGTGGGGGTGAGGGGTCTCCCCGGGCACCCGGAGCCCACATCAGCGCCGTCGTCTGGGGGGGCGACCCCCCCATCTTTGTTTACCGAATGCGTCTCTGGATTAGAGTGCGTCTAGTAGGCCTCCTACTTAGACGCTCGCTGTCCTCGGTATGCTCGAGCATCCTAAGATGCGCGAGTCTATATTAGTTGCTCCGCGCATCCCGAATTGCTCGCGGCATCTCCGATTGGCGTTGCTGTCTCAAAAGACGCGCCGTGCATACTGTGAACAGCGCGTGTCTCAGAAGACGCGCGCATATTTTGAACAGCGTGTGGATCTCAAGAAATACACGCACGTATAAAAACAAAAAAGAAAACGAAAACTCGGTGTGGCGAGCGCTGCGCGGCGGGCCGTGCCCCCGGCTGTGCGCCGCGGCTGCTGCGCTACTACTCGCACAGCCGCGGCGCGCCCACCCGAGCACTCGTGGGTGGGCGCCCTATAGCCTCTCCGCGCAACGTGCTGGGGCACGGACAGCGGCTCTCACGTGTGGCAGCGGCAGCAGGCCCACCGCTGCACCGACTCACACTGAACAGCACGCACAGGACACAGTCACAGAACACTGCCCCTGACGCCACTCACGGCCACGGGCTACTCAGACTTGGACACAGGCACCTCGCTTAGCACTCCGTGCACGTGGCTGCCGGTTGCCGTCACCAGCGCCGCTTCCTGCCCAGATCAAACACCTGCGACGTGGCGGAGGCGATGAGCGGCCCGCGGTCGCCGTGAGAGCGCGCGTGGTGGGCGACGGCTCACCGATCGAGCGGAAGCGGTCACGCTGTGGGGGCGGCGGAAGCGGTCACGCTGTGGGGGCGGCGGCGAGGCGGGCAAGCCACCCGCAGATCCCCAGAAGGACGCCGTCGCGAGGTCGAGGGCGGGCGGCGGGGGCGGCGAGAGCGAGGCGCGAGGCGCGAGGCGGTGTTGGCGGCGGCGGTGGCGCGGGCGGCGGCGGTCACGGAGCGGGGGCGAGAGGGTGGTGGCGAGCAAGACACCCGTGCGCGCTGCGCGGTCGCCGTTCTGACTCACATGCCTGCGGACAGCGCCGACGGGTGGTGAGGAGGGCGGCGAGCCGGCGGGCACGGTGTGCGCGCGGTCGCCGCGCGCTGGTGGGCGACAGCTCACCGAGCGAGGAGCGAGGAGCGAGGAGCGAGGAGCGAGGAGCGAGGAGCGAGTCGGGATGCCCGGTCCCTCAAATCGCCAAGTCAAACAAGAAAAACCGCGCCGCTGGCCGACTCTCGGAAGTACGCTGTCTTCCGTGTCTAGGCGCACGCCCACGCCCTCAGCCTCGAACTGGCCCCGCTACCTGCCGCGCAAACTGGTTGGTGGGGGGGGGAGGCGGCGTCGCCGTCGGATCGTCGTAAGCAGTGCATGCAACTTTGGTCTTTGCGCCCAGAGCTCGTGGCGCGAGCAGATGCATGCGCGGTGCTGAGAACCTGGTTCTCCAGGAGGGGCAGGCCGCGAGGAGAGACCTCACACGAGCACTCAAGGCAGGGCCCCCAGGGGGTGCCGAGAGATCACACCGCCTTTTCGTGCTCCCTGGCTCCCTGCTCCCCCCTCGGTGCCCGGTGCACCCGACACACGGTGTCTCCTGAGACGCTTCCCTGTCCAAGTATAGTAAAATGTGATCTAGTATGCAAGTGCCATCTCAGAACAGCTGTGCATCTATAGATGCTTGTGGCGTCTAAGATGGAACGCGTAACAAAAGACACGGCGCGGCTATCTCCAGGACAGCCATCGCATCCTAGAATGCCCTGTGTACCCGAGACACATGGTATCTTTGAGATGAAAAGTGCGTCCTAGAATGCGTTTTTGCATTCTAGGACGCATCGGTAAACAAAGATGGGGGGGTCGCCCCCCCAGACGCGTCTAGCCGCCGAAAGGCGGAGGGGAGGGTGGGGTCTAGCGTGCCAGGCTGGTCGGGGGCGAGGGGGTGGCCACTGCTGCCGCCTCCTTTCAGGGCGGCGGGCCGCCTTTTGGGCCGTCCGACGGCGTTGATGTGGGGGTGAAAACACACAAGCCAAACACCCGAGGCGCGCCCCCCCGGCAGCCGCTCGTGCTGGCACGGGCAGTAAGCCTGCGGGATGCGTGCCTGCTCACACGTGCGGCTCGGCGGGATTTCGTCCTCCAACAGACTGAAGCGCCACTCGGCGACGCCCGTCGGCGGCGGCGGCGCGGCAGCGGAGGCGGCGGAGGCGGCGGCGGAGGCGGCGGCGGCGGCGGCGCGTGGGCGCACTTCGGAGCTAGTGAGACCGTGCCGCCGCGCGCGCGACGACTGGCGCTGGCCCGGGCGTCCGAGGAGGACGCCGCGCAGCGTGGCGTACAGGTCGTGGGCGGTGGACAGCCGCTGCGCGTTCGTGCGCAACCGCGCCACGTCGGGCACGAGCGCGCGCGGCACGAGCAGCCGCGCCCACGGCGCGCGCTGCTCCCACTGCGTGCCCAGGTCGAGGATCTTGGGTCCGTCCTGGACGCCGTGGTCGCCGTGCACGAGGACGAGCGTGTCGGCCTCCGGGCGGCGCAGCAGGCCGTCGAGGAAGTCGGCGAGGTAGCCGTCGTACGCGGAGAGCCCCGTCATGTGCTGCGCGAGGTCCTTGCCGTACTGCCCCTCGTGCACTACGTTCGCGCTGTAGACGGCGAACTTGGGCACGCCGTCCGTGTAGCGTCGCCACATCTGCTCGAGCTGCGTGAGCGGCCAGCGCAGGTGGGCGTAGGCAGGGGCGCCGTCCCCCGGCAGGAAGGACTTGTAGCCGCGGCCGCTCCGCTCTGAGAGCCGACAGTGCAGCGCGTGCAGCTCGTGATCGATCGCCGCGCGCACGCCGGACGCGTTGATGAGCCCGTCGACGGCCCACGGCGAGCCTGTGGTGCAGATCTCCTCACCGAAGTACGTCGCGTAGCCGCGCCGCCTGGCGATGGTTCTGGCGGCGGGGTTGTGCCGGGGATAGGTGGAATGGGGCACGCGGGGGCTGATGATCTGTGGTTCTCGAGGTTCTCGAGGTGGATATCCTTTGGCCGCGTTGGGTAGCGAGGATTGGTGTGATCTGTGGGCGGGACTGAGCTAGGACTGAGGAACCACCCAACCACCCTGACCGCCTCCTCGTGGGCGGGCTACTCGGGGTCGGTCGGGCCGAGATGCGAGAAGGGGGGGGGGGAGGGGCGAGCAACGGGCAGAGCCGACTCGACGAAATTTAAGGTTGTCCCGACACCTATGCGAAAAACTTGTCAGTGCCACATATGTAAGGGGTCATTAGCAATCAAACTGATGTACTCCCCAGCATTGTCTACACCGTTACTGTAGATGCGTTCAAGAAAAAAGACGCACGAAGTGGGCCTTGGGTGACTGTGGCGATCATCCCACTATTGATCGATGCTCCACGAGATACGACCTGTCACCCGTGGCTCCACCGCGGAGTGACATATCAGCTTGAACGACAGGCCAACTTGCAGCACCCAGCAGGTTAGGGAGGGGTTCAGAAGGGTTCAGAAGGGGTTCAGAAGGGGTTCAGAAGGGGTTCAGAAGGGGTTCAGAAGGGTTCACACCATGATGCAACCGATTGGTTGGCATCCGTAGAGTGAGAGGCGCCAGGGGCCCAGCGCGGCGCCCCTTGAGTGCTTTATACCGGATTTTGATGTTAGTGGCAAAACCGCGGAACCGAAAATGGCGTTTAATTTTGCGCCCCTGCTGCGCCCCGCCTGCGGCGGCGCTGCGCGCCGCTTACGCGCGCTGCGCGCTTTCTTTTCTCTCTTTTCACACTGTAATTTTACCAAAAAAATGCCCTTTTTTGCTCTCTTTTGTTGGCGCGCCTTCGCGCCGATGACGCTGCCTCTCTCCCTCCTCCTGCTCGCCTCGGACGCCCGCCCGCGGCTTCTCGCGAGCGAGGTCTCGTCCCAGCCAGTGCGTCAGCCCGTGGAGCGGCGCGTCCTCCCGTACGAGCCGCTCCTCGTCAACCGGGAGCGACGCGGCCGCGACCAGCGCCACTCGTGGGTGCGCGGCGTGGCGGCGCTGCACCCGGCGCTGCGGCTCTCGGCTGCGGCGGCGGCGCTCGCGCTCGTCGCCGCTCGCAGCGGCCTTGGCGACGACGTCTGCCTCGCGCTGCGGCTCGGAGGCAGCCTCCTCGCCTGCGCCGCGGCGCTCGAGCTCGGTTCGGCGGCGGCGATTGCGGCGGCGGCGGTGTTGGTGGCGGTCGTGTCGTGGGTGCGCGGCGAGCGGGAGGAGTCGCGCGACTTTGAGCTGACCGAGCTCGGCCTCGCTGCCGCCGCCTCGAGCGCGTCGTATGCTCCGCCAGGCCGCCCTCTGCTAGTGATGCTCCTGCTAGTGATGCTCTGCTGGTGATGACAGTGAAAGAGGCGAGAAACAGCGAAGCCATGACTGAGGCACCGGAAGCTGTGGGTGGGCGCAGGAGCGGAGAGACGGCCACACGGGGATCAACAACAACAACAACAACAACAACAACAACAACAACAACAACAACAACAACAACAACAACAACAACAACAACAACAACAACAACCACACACACACACGCACACACACACACACACACACACACACACACACACACACACGCACGCACGCACGCACGTATACAAGGCACGCACGCACGCACGCACGCACACAGAGAGAGAGGGAGAGAGGACACGAAACAAGACACTCAGCCAGCTGGGGCTGTCCAACACTGACCCCGTGTGGACTTGAGGCGAGCAGGCGGCCGGCCGGAGTAGCTGTCAAGAGCTGTGAAGAGACGCTGTTCACACCTCCACCCGTGCGGGCAGGCGGCCGGCTGGAGGAGCTGCACGCGAGGGGCGTCGACTCGCGCAACTGGAGAGAGGACCGCTCTCTGTCGACAGACGTGGTCGCGGTGCTGTACAACAGGCACACCCAGACCTGCCATGTGGAGGTGTGAACAGCGTCTCTTCACAGCGGTGCTGTACAACAGGCACACCCAGACCTGCCTGGTCGCCTTCCGCGGCAGCGCCACCCTCGGCGACTGGAAGTCAAACGTCCACCACGTGCTACCGGGCAACGAGCGCGACTCGACGCCTCCAGGAAGTGTCTAGGAAGTGTCTAGGAAGTCGCTAGGTGCTTCCGGGCAACGAGCGCGACTCGACCGCCTTCCGCGCGGCGCTCGAGGTCGCGCGGGCGGCGCAGCTAACCCTAACCCTAACCCAAACCTTGACCCTAACCCTAACCCTAACCCTAGGTCGCGCGGGCGGCGCAGCTGCGGTATGCGCTGTACCGCCGCATCCGGCTGACGGGGCACTCTCGCGGAGGCGAAGACCCAAGAGACACGAGAGGACACGAGAGGACACGCGATGACACGAGAGGACACACACGAGAGGACACGAGATGGCCCGAGAAAAGAAGAGGGCACGGCAGAGGACCCGAGACGGCACGAGATGACACGAGATGATCCGAGATGACCCGTGATGACACGAGATGATCCGAGGTTGCACGAGATGTAGGCACGATGGCGGACTGGGTCGGCAGGCAGCTGGGCCTGCCCTCGCTGCAGATCAACCCCGGCATGGGCGTGAAGCTGTTTCGGCGAGACGACGACCCTGCGGTGGAGTCGCTCACCGCTCGCTCCTTTGACCTTGTGTCGGTGATGGAGGCGCTGCACGCGCGAGACCGGCGAGTCGTCTTTCGGTGGCCTCGCCACGCCCTCCTCTCCGCCGCCCTGCACCTCCTCCTCCTCGTCGTCTCGCTCGCCGCCCTCCTCGCCTCCCCCGCGCCGGGGTGGGCCCGCACCTCTGGCGCCGCCGGCGTGGTCGCGGCGCTGCTCGCGTACGCCTACTGGATGCACTCGGTGCTGCGGTTCACGCCACGCTGAAGCGGTAGTGCCGCACTAGTAAAGGCTAAAGCCGTAGCCCGTAGTGCTGTGGGTACTCTAGCTAGAGGAGGCTTTTTTTTGAGAGCCTTTAGGTCGCGCCAGCCCTGCGTTTTGTGTGTGCTTGTGTTCTGTGAATGCAATCCGCCGAGTTCACCTCTTCACGACATGGTCATGCGTTTGCCGAGAATGAACACATTCGTGCACAAAGCAGACACCAGACCTCGGTTTCCCATAGGGTTTCTGCTGCGGTTTCCCATCGCGGTTTCCCATAGCCGAAAACCCAGGGGTCGGTCGGTTTCTGCCGCGCGCTCTGTTTTTTCTGGGATCTGTTTTCTGGGACACCCGCCTCGATTTCCCGTGGGATCTGCCTGTGGGTCTGGTTTCTGCGGTGTGAAGACATCTCCCGCTTCGTCCTAATGAGCTCATTCCGGCCAATGAACAGGTGTACCCCCGTCCGTACCCGGGGGTATCGAGCACGAAATCACAGAGAGAAAGAACATTGCGCCGTGACGCGATCTGTTATTCTGGGATCTGCTATTTCGGTCCCCGATGGCGAGCTGGCTCGACGATCTCGGTCTCCACGAGCTCGAACACATCAAGGATGGCGCAAGTGCCTTCGCGCAGGAGCTCCACCCAATCAACTCGGCGGAGGATTTCATCAGCTTCGTGGTTGCGCTCAACCTCTACCCACCTGGGACGCCCTTACGCGCTGAGCGTATTGCTGGGGAGATGCCGGCAGGCCTCTCCGCTCCTGCGGTGCGGTATCTGCTAAGCAAGCTGCCCATTGTCGATCGGCTTGCCTCCCAGCTTCGCGACGACCCGAGCCGCAAGACCGTTCGGCTCGTGCCGGACGTGGAGCACTGCGTGGCGTGTGGCCTCGCTGGGGAGGCGGTACCCCTGGTGGTCAAGCGGGCTGACAAATGCTCATCTCCAACGGTCTATGCGGAGCACGGGCGACTGAAGGGCGAGCTCAATGGCCTCTCCTGCCCTCGGTGCTCCGCGTGGCACAGCATGTCGTACGCTGAGGGCGGCACGCGCATCCCAGCTGGCAAGCAGGTGCCCTACCCAGGGGCGACTGCATCCTCACGCCGCTGGGTCCAGCTTTCCCAGAGCACCGTGTTCGAGAACTCGCTGCTCGACAGGTTGTCGGCACAGATGGTGCATTCTCACACCGGCTTCGAGACCTTCTGTCACGAGTGGGCAATGCGGTGCGGCGAGAACATGCTGCTGTCTTAGTACTCCCGTTCGACCCATTCGGAATCCGATTAGTTAATGAGGGGTCATTCCGGCGGAATGACCCCTCCGGGAGATCGTTCACACCTCGAAAAACCAGAACCCAGAGCGTCTGGACCGATATTCCATTGGCCCGGATGTGATCTGTGGGATATGTCGAAAAAGCAGAATACAGAGCTCCTCCTCCTAGAAGTCAGACGGTTTCTTGATAGCTGATATGCCAGGGAAGAGCCTGGTATCTCAGTATGTTATATCCTATGATATAACATAGTGGTGTCTGGTTTATGCACACCTCAATGAACAATAGAAACGTAAGTTTCGAATACAACAGCTACACTCTCGAAAGTGCGCCACAGCCCACACACACATCCTGATCATTATATTGACGCGTTCCACGCTCTCGTCCCTGGAAGAGCGGGCGGTGTGCAATCATGCCTCTCATCCGAATGGCCATCCGCCGGGCCGTCCGGACCCACCCCCAAACCCGCCCCCCTTGCCTCCCGCCATCTCCTGCTTGAGCTGCTCCTCGAGGCTGAGCGCGGGCTCCCCCTCCTCCTCCTCCCCCTCCTCCTCCTCCTGCGCCGCCTCCGCCACCGTGTCAAACGGGTTGGGCAGCGAAAACGGCATCCCGAAGGCCGGCTTCGCCTGCGGTTCTGGCGCTGGCGGCGGCGGCGGCGGAGGCGGCGGCGGCGGCGGCGGCGCCTCGAAGGGGTTCCCGAAGCTCATCCCAAACGCCTGCTGCTGCTGCTGCGGCGGCGGCGGCGGCGGAGGCAGAGGCGGAGGCTGCTTGCGCGGCGCTTTGGTTGGCGCGACCGAGCCGAAGTACTCGATGGTGACGTCCTTCTTCTGGCACCTCGCAACGCACGCCGGCACCCGCCTGCCGTCCACGACCACGTCGCAGACTCGACAGTGGCCCTCCATACATGAGTATTTGATTGGGATGCCCGACTGCCGCGCCACGTCGGCCAGCTTCTGTCCCTGTGCAAACGCAGCCGGCGTCTCGTGCGTGGGACGGAGCCTCGGGTGCGTGTCACGCAGCGGCAGAGTGTGTGAGCTAACGGCTGTCTCAAGCATCTTTGTTTTGCCGGCACGACCTGGGAGGTCGAAACGGGCTGTTGCTCCCAAAAGTTGTCGGGCTTGGGGCCCTTCCAAGTAATCGTCTTTAGCTCCACCTCTTTGCTCAGGCCGGCGCCCTCCCGCTTCCCGAGCGTCTCGTCGTTCTTCATTGACTCTGCGAGCGCGTCGAAGAGGCCCATGCGGACTGCGGCGCGGCGGTGTGCGGAGGCTACGGAGCGCGGGCGAGTGGCGGCGAGGCCGGATGCCACGGAGCGCGGGCGAGTGGCGGCGAGGCCCAGCAAAAGGGCGACGGCCATTTGGAGGAAGACCACTTCCGCGAAGCTTCGCACTTTGCAGTGCCCAGTCGGTGTGCGTCAAAAAAGAATTTCAAAATCCAGAGGTATTCTGCGGGGCACCCCAAAGCGCGGAGCCAATCGGTGAGTATCAGCTCCGAGTAGAGGGAGCGCTCCGCCGCTAGGAGAAACCCAGAGTAGCGCGGACCTCCTGAGACGTTTCGCAAAAGCATGCGGGACGCTGCCTCTTTGCCGCTCGCTCGAGACGTGCGTGGCCGTGGCTCCGCGCAGCTCGTCTTTTCGCGGCTTCCAAAGAGTCTTAGGAAAGAGCTCGACTCCGAGGCGCTGCAGAGGCCGACTGCACGGAGCACTCTAAACCTAAAGGCTACACACTCGCACACCACTTGCAGAGTGGCTCTCCCAGGCACTCACCCCACGGCAGAGGCACGCCAGCTCACGCCAGCCCCGGGCAGCCGGCCGTCGCTCGCCTAAGCGCCTAAGCGGCCTAAGCGGGGGGGTTGCTCTTAGGGTGCTTAGGCGCTTAGGCGGCCCTTGCGAGCGTGGCGGTGTCGTAAATACAAGTGACTCCGATGACACTCGCAATGCTCCTGGTAGTGTCATCGCTCAGAGAGAGCAGCCTGACGCACGTCGTGACTGTCTGGTGTCTACCACTGGCCCTGGTCGCACACTGCCACTGAGCTGCGCTGGTGCGGAACTCAACATCAGGTCGAGAGTCGAGGAAGGACGCGGAAGGTCGAGTCGAGGAAGAGAACACGATCAGGGGCGGGTCGGTAGACCGGTCCGCAGCGCCATATACGTGGCAAAGGACGCAAAAAGTGCCCACTGAAGCTTCTGCGCCTTGACTTCAGGTTGAGCTGTGATGATGCCCACAGCACCAGCAGCAAAGCCCGCCTGATCATGCAGCCCACTTGCCGACGTGCGTCCAGCATTCCACTATAGGACGAACGCCGAAGTTTGCTCTCCGACGTCGTGCCGAGCGAAACCTTTTCCTTCGAAGCTCAGCGTCGTAGCCGGGCGAGCGGAATAGGCAGCCCTAAAGAGCACCTTGAGGCCGTTCAATAGAGCCCGTGTTATAGTCGAGGGTCGATCGCCGGCCGGCGCAGTGCTGCTCTGACCGCTCCCCCAGGCCGCCGCCGGGCCACGCCGCGGAGACGTGCACATAGGTAAGTTGGTATTTTCATGTATGAACTTCAAAATAACAGTGGCTAATCTAATCCTACTCATCGCAACGCGCCAGGAACACCCCCACACTTTAGGGTCATTGTGTAGCCCTGCTTAGAAGGAAAAGGTTTACTGCATTGGTCCGGATGGCTCACCGTGTAGTCGGCCAGAGCTCTCGGGCGGGAGTTTGCTTGGCTGGCGCGCGCACTGCATGCGGAAAGGAGCAAAACTCGCATTCTATAGCTCACAGACCTCTCGTAAGGGAATGCGTACCGCACGTTGCGGCTGCGCCCGCGGCTATCCTTCACAGATCACACCGGACCACACCGCCTCGGCAGTTCGCACATCTGGGTTCTGGCCGGCAGAACTTATAGGAGCTCGGCTGGTTCGTGTGTCAGAAACTGAGACCGAGGCCACCACCGACGGAAAAACGACTCGTTCACAAAGACGTCGTCCATCACGTGGTTTGCAGTCGTCCCGCGCGCGGCGATCATCCCGGCGTAGCTCATGCCAGCCCGAAGCAGCCGCCGGAAGATCGGTGCTCGATGACCGTCGCCGCGCGCCTGGGGATCACGATGAAATGGGGGTCACGGAAATATACGCGAGCGACGTGGTGGGCGTGTGGGCTGACTACTCAGTCTCGGCGGTGAAGGGGGTCCCAGCGGTGCAGCACGGCCAAGGTCGCGCCTCGCGCCTCCACCACAAGTACCCCGAGCGAGAGCGTGCGCCCGAGAGCGCGCGCGAGAGTGTTGATCACGCTCAGCTCACACCCCTCGCAGTCGAGCGAAAAGAAGTCGAGCCGCCGCACGGCGAGTCTTGCCAGCGCTTCGTCGAGCGGCACGCACGGGACTTGGATCGAGCCCGCTCTGTGGGTGTGGCGCCCCGTAGCGCGTTCAGCAGTTGTCGTGCCACGCTGGATTCTGCCCCCATAGAATCCGCTTGCGGTGAAAGGCACAAAGCTGTACTCCTCACACACCGCTGCGTTGATCTTGACAGCGTTTGGCCGCGCTTGCAGCAGCTTCTCAAAGGATGCTGGGCTCGCCTCGACTAAAACCCCGGTCCAGTTGAGACAGCGGTCAAACACGAGCGTTGTTGACTCCACCTCCCCGTCGCCGCCGCCTAGCTCGAGGTAGGTCGGCTGCCCAAGCGCCGCCAACGGCCTGCCGCTGTCGCGGTCGGTAAAAAAGGAGCGGAGCACCGCAGCGTCCTCGCCTCGCGCCGAGGAGCATGGCATGTACCGACCCGTGAACGGAGGGCTGCGCATGGCGTGCGGGAGGCGCCGGAGGAGCGAGCTGTGTACTACCCGAGAGGGCAGGAGCTCGGGCACCCAGCCATGCTTCAACACGGCCGCCAGCGGGAGCGACTCGCCATCGCCGAGGTTGACCGTCACGTTTGAACCCCGATGTGCACCGCGAAGGAGTCCTCGAGCCGTCCTGCAAGGGAAGCAAGGCACAGTCGGCCAGGAAAGACGATGCCCACTAACTACTCAGCGCCCGAACCGTACCTGCACCGCTGCATAAGCCAGGTGCGGTTGATCCCGGGGCGAGTAAATATGTCGGTGTAGTCGAGGCTGGATGGACTTGCGAGCTCACGCTCGTCCTTCACCACAGCTGAACTATGAAACACCTCGTCCGCTGGCAAGCGGGCGAGTCCATCGATGTTACAATGGCTGCAGCCGCGCTGGACGGTGGTTGGCTCTCGCTCCCACTTGCTGTGTGCGCTCTGCCAAGCGGCAAAGCTCTCACAGGGCTGCTGAAAGGAGCAGATCCGCGCGTTGTCGAGCACCTTCGCTGGCGTCATTGTCTCCGCGTCGTGCAGGTCCGCGCACGCGGTGGGGAGGAGCAAGAGTCTGCCCGTCGGGTGCCCGCTGAAAGAAAGAATTTTCCAAGAAACAGAAAGAATCCTCCAATCCCTCCCTTGGGTTATGCTGCTGCTGCTGTTGTTACCTCCGGTCCACACGGGTACTCCAGTGGGTTATCCGTCTTCTTTTTCTTTCTTTCGAAAGAAAGAAAACAGGACAAACCGCGCAAAAAAATCGTCGAGGTCAAAAATAATTTCTAGCTTTCGCCCTCGTTGGGGCGAGGGAGGCTGGCGAGAAAAAAGAAATTTGCCGGGTGCCCAAGCAGTGGCTTTGGTTATCCTGCGTCGACGGCGTCGACGCTGACCTGGATATCGCGCAAAAAGAGCGCCTAACCTCGTCTCCTCGTCGATGCTGCTATGCATCTTCTACACCGCGCTCGCGGTGCTCGGTCTGGGCTCCTCGGCCTTTGCGCTCTCCTCATGTGGCTGTGGCGGCCTATCCGTGCCGGTGCGGGCAGAGCTGCGTGCGGTGCGGCACACCTCCAAGAACGGCGCGCTGACAATCGACGGTTGCCCGGGGCACGTGAGCTGGAAAGACGCACCCTTCCCCAACGCCCTGGAGCCCGAGGAGCCGAGCCGCGTGCACTGGCTTCGCTCCCTCTTCACGCAGCAGGAGGCCGCCTCCGTGGTACGATTGCTCAGACCAGCCGTTTTCAGCGCCGCTGCCGACTCAACGGATCACCTGCCGGCCTTTGAGCTCTACCTGCTTGGCGGAGGCAAGCCGGCCGCTGGAGAACCGGGGGACGCGGGACGGCTCGAAGCCGTCCGCTCGCTGGTTCTCCCGCGCATAGAGGCGTGCGTCACGCCCTTTGTCCGAAGCAAATTCGGGTGCGCCGAGTGCCTGCCGTGCATCTCGCTGGCTCGACGGTACACGCCCTCGGAGCGCACCCTCGTGCGGCCGCACCGCGATGCGCTCGCACGCGTGACCGTAGTAGTGGAGCTGCAGCCTGCAGACGGCTCCTCTCCCGCTGCGGCGGCCAACTGCTAATGGAGGTATTCAAATGATCATTCCCAAATACTAGGCGCTCGAGGCGCAGCTCGGGCGGCTCGCGGCCCGCGCGGCGATCGAGGAGGCGATCGGGGAGGGCGGGCCCTGCTGCGGATGAATGTGGCTCGTGCTCACTTTCGAAAAGAAAGAAAGAAAACACACAACCCAAGGGAGGGATGGGAGAACGGCACGCCGCCACCACACAGGGATTTTAAGGAGAGGAGAGTGTCACTTTCGACACTGCACGCCCTGGGCATTTCTTTTTTCTTTTTTCTTTCCCATTATGCGAGCTACCCTCTCTCGACTTCTGGCACCGCCACCGCCACCGCTGACTGGGAGACGGACTAGCATGCTCCTCCTCCCGACGATCGTGGCCGCAGCCTTGTCGCCGGGCGTTCCCGGCGCGCGCCGCGGCGCCGTCCATAGCGCCGTGTCACGCCTCGCCATGCAGCAGCAGACCTCGTCGCCGAAGGGCGTCGTGATCACCGGCGGCGCTGGCGGCGTCGGCTACGCCTACGCGGACGAGTTCCTGGCGCGCGGGCACTGGGTGGTGATCTGCGACGTCAAGGACCCGGAGCCGGCCGTGATGGCGCTGCGGCAGAAGCACGGCGGCGGCCTCGGCCGCATCTACGGCTGCACCACCGACGTCTCGTCTGCCGAGTCTGTGGGCGCTCTCGCGCAGTTCGCAAAGGAGCAGATCGGGACGGTACACTACTGGATCAACAACGCGGGCATCAACGGCGGTCGCCGTCCCTTCACCTCCCTCTCCACCCAGACCGTCGAGGCAGTCGTCAAGGCTCGCGCCGTCCACTTTCTGCGCTGCGCCTGAGACTCGGCCGCACTGCGCCTGACGCCGGCCGGTGCGGGAGCAGGTCAACCTGATCGGTGTGCTCCTCTGCACCCTCGAGGCCATCAAGCTCATGCGAACGCAGGTCCGCCAGTCGCCCCGCCCGGCCCGTGCGATCCGAGAAGCGCGCGCTGAGAGAGTGCGCTGAGAGAGTGCGCATGGGGCGGCACTCGCGGAGAAGCCGCCGGCGCGTGCGCTCACCGCCGGCGCCCGCGCCCGCAGCGCGGCGTCGAGTCGCACGTGTTCAACACCGTCGGCTCCGGCGTCAAGGGCGGCGGCACTCCTGGCTACGCCTGCTACGGCGCGAGATTTAGCCGAGAGGCAGCCGAGAGGCAGCCGGGAGGCAGCCGGGAGGCAGCCGGGAGGCAGCCGAGAGGAGAGAGGCAGAGGCACTCCTGGCTACGCCTGCTACGGCGCACAGAGCGCGCGCGGCACCATTCCTCCCTTCCGTGCGTCCCTCCTTCCGTTCTTCCGTCCGCCCGCCCTCCCCGGCCCCCGACCCATGCCCCTCTCGCCCGCCCGCGACTGCCGCCCTTGCGCGGCGCCTCTTTTTGCGCGCACAGGCGCGTGTGTGTGTGGCGGTGTGGGTAGGCGCGACGAAGCGCGGGCTGCCGCAGCTGACCGACTCTCTCGTCAAGGAGCTCGAAGACGGGGTGGAGGGGGACGAGCCCGACGACAGCTGTGAACAGCGTCTCTTCACACCTCTGGCTGTGAACAGGTGGAGGGGTACGAGCCCGACGAGGCGGCGCGCGGCGCAAAGGCGACCCGAGAGACGGACGCGGCCGAGAGGGCAGCTTCTGGGCTCACAGCACACTGGGCTCACAGCACACGCACGCCCACGCCCTGCCGCACCCGACCGCGCAGGTGAACGTGCACACGCTCTCGCCGGGGATGGTCTTCACGGACTTGCTGCTCAACGACTCGACGCCCAAGCTGCGCAAGTTCCCGTTCGGCGTGCTCGCTGCCCAGCCCCCCGAGGTGGCGCAGGACCTGGTGCCAAAGATACTCGCGACGAGCGGCAACGGCCAAAAGGTCGAGTTCCTCACCACGGACCGCATCCTGACCAAGTTTTTCGAGCGGTTCGTGCAGGGCAAAAAGTCCGAGTACATTGATGACAACGGCAATGTCATCAAGGTACCGGGCGCCCAGTACCTCGACAACGGCGTGCGCGTCCAGTATTAGCGGAGGTAGGAGCTAGGAGTTGCGCGAGAAAGCGCAGATCAGAGCTGGACACCTGTGTACGGTGCACGGAGCTTCAGCCCCTGTAGCGACCTAGCGAATCGCGGCGTGTCGCTGTGTAGATGCGCAGTGACCTGCTCGCGAGTGATTTTCCGTTCGAGGAAAACTCGCGCGCTCAAATACCCGGGGTATTCGTGACCCAGCACCAGGGCGCAGGGGATGTGCGCCGGGCCCTGGTAGAGGGTGCGCAGCGTCCTAATCTAAAATCTGAGGATTCAGGATTCAGGCATCGCTTCAGTGAGGCCAAAGTGAGTTTATGGATGTGTGAGAACGGTACGGGACACGAGGAGGCACGCGGATCGTCTCGTCGGTGACTCTGCTGCACGCCGTTTCAGAATTTTTCTCAGCGTGAGCGAGACGTCTAAGAGTGCCACCGTCGGGTAGGACGGGTCGGCCCGGAGTATCAGAGTAGCCGTCGTGGTCGCGGCGAGCAGCGCCGGCCACTCCGGCGCTGCGTCGGCAACGTGGGAGCATGTCCACCGCCACTTCGCGGTCGCAGCGCTGTTGTCGCCCAAAACGCCGCTACGTACCTTTTCGGGCAAACCATCGAGCTGTGTGTCGATTTCGACTTGACGGCGGCATGAAGGCATCACGTCTCCATGCCGCCGTCAAGTTGGAGCCAGTCTGCGGCGACCACAGCGCTCAGAAAGGTACATAGGATTCCTAGCCAGCTTTTCAGAGTCAAGCGATTGCGCGAAATCCCACACTGGTGGATTTTGGGGCGCTGCGCACCCCCTAGCCCTGGAACGTGGAAGGTGCGGAAGTGGAACCTGGTTTGTGGAGCTCCCAGCTCCCACACCTGTCTAGACCCAGTCCTGAGCCTGTCCAGACAGCGTCCAGACTTGTCCACAGTCCAGACAGCGTCCAGACACAGCGCGTTAGAGGGTGCGCAGCGTCCGAATCTAAAATCTGACTTCTGAGGATTCAGGATTCAGAGGCATCGCTTCAGTGGGGCCAAAGTGAGTTTATGGATGTGTGAGAACGGTACGGGACACGAGGAGGCACGCGGACCGACTCGTCGGTTGGGCCAGGTACCAATTTTGTCGAATTTATTTCAAAATCTGCAGGCGCGGAGCGCCTGCGAAAATTTTGAAGAAATTTGCAGTCGGGCCTGATTTTCATCAAGATCTTTCAAATTTGCGGTGTGGAGTTGGGGGTGGGTTAGGTTAGGGTTATTAGGGTTAGAGGGTTAGGGTTAGGGTTAGGGTTAGGGTTAGGGTCAGGGAGTCTGGTTGTGTCTGTATATGCCAGCGTTGCAGGGTTCTGCGCTGGGATCTGGCCCCACAGCGCCGACGACTAAGACTCAGCCCCACACGCTGACCTAGGGTTAGGGTACGGGTTAGGGTACGGGTTAGGGTTAGGGTTAGGGTTAGGGTTAGTCTTCTTGTGTTTGTATGCCAGCGTTGCAGAGTTCTGCGCTGGGATCTGGCCCCAGCGCCGACGAGTAAGACTCAGCACCGCACGCCGACCCCACCAAATGCCGCCTCAGGGCGCCAGCCACCTCTTACACGCGGCCGGCGCCCTCTCGCGGCAAAAGCCGGCCCGAGGGAGCCGCGTCGAGGCCGACCTCGGGGCGCGAGAGGCCTCCCACGGCCGAACCGCACGCCCCCCGGAACGCGCGGTTCGCCGCTCGTGGGCCGGCGCGTCGGAGACGCGCGCGACGGCGCCCCGCGCCGCTACCGCGCGCCTGACCCAGGCGCGAGAAACGAATCTGCGAGGCGTGGCCGCTCATGCGGCCCGATGGGGAGGAGCGGGGCGAGCCCCCTCCAACCCACCCGCGCTAGGTCTCGGGGGACGCAGGGGTCACTCCCGCGCGACCTCGGGAACTAGCCGGGGCAGTCGGAGAAGGGGCAACTCCGTGCACTGACGGTCGGCCGCCAGAAAACACGCCTCCGTGGCTCGGGTTACACCAATCCTCGCTACCCAACGCGGCCAAAGGATATCCACCTCCACCTCGGTCGAGCGACCCGGGGGATGCCCCGCGCGCCTGACCCAGGCGCGAAAACGAATCTGCGAGGCGTGGCCGCTCACGCGGCCCGATGGGGAGGAACGGGGCGAGCCCCCTCCAACCCACCCGCGCTAGGTCTCGGGTTTGACGCATGGGGTCACTCCCGCGAAACTCGGGAACTAGCCGGGGCAGTCGGAGAAGGGGCAACTCCGTGCACTGACGGTCGGCCGCCAGAAAACACGCCTGCGTGGATCGCGTCACACCAATCCTCGCTACCCAACGCGGCCAAAGGATATCCACCTCGAGAACCTCGAGAACCTCGAGATATCCACCTCGAGACCTCGAGAGAGAACCCCCCTCCCCCAAGTTGAACCTGGCGTTTTGTGAGAGGGCGGTCAACTCCGCCCGGCGAGCTGTGACCAGTCAGCAGCAGAGAGGATGAAGCGCAAGCATTCCAACACAGCGGCGCTGGCGAACACCCACACGGACACTGCTCCTCCGCCAGCGGCAGCAGCGGAGCCGGCGGCGAGAGAGCGTGTGGCGGAGGGCTTGAGCTTGCACCTCTCCAGCAACAGCACCGGGTACAGGGGCGTGCGAGAGCACTCTGGCCGCTTCCAGGCGCAGCGCATGGTGGACGGGAGGGCGGACTACCTGGGCACCTTCGGCACGGCGGTGGAGGCGGCGGTGGCGTACGCGCGGGCTGCCGGCGAGTACCAGCCTCCGGCGGTAGCGACGGAGGCGGAGGGCTTGCGCCTGCACCTCTCGAGCAGAGGCAGGACCGGCTACAAGGGCGTGTATATTCACAGAGGGCTGATGACTCCGGCCCAACGGATGGACGCGCCGCCGCGTGTCGTGCTGGGACTGCCCTTCTTTGCGCAGGTGGACGGAAGACCCGCGCAGGGCTTAGGCTCTTACGCCACGGCGGTGGAGGCGGCGGTGGCCTACGCGCGGGCGGTCGGGGAGTACACGCCTCCACCTCCGCCACCGGCAGCAGCCGAGCCAGCGGCGGCGCCAGCAGCGGCAGAGCCAACTACGCAGGCTCCGGTGACGCAGGCCCGGTGGCGGCAGAAGCGTGTCCACGACACGTCCTGGCCACCCCCCCCATAGGCAGCCAAGGTGATGCGCGTCGCCAAGGCTGAGCAGCAGCGGCGGCTGCAGGAGCAACAGCGGCAGCATCTGCAGGAGCAACAGCGACGGTTGCAGGAGCAGAAGCCGCTGCTGCAGGAGCAACAGCGGCGGTTGCAGCAGGAGCAACAGCGGCGGTTGCAGGAGCAGAGGCGTCTCTTCGAGGAGGTGGCCAGCCACACACACACACACACGCACCGCTCACCCACGCGCACTGGGCCTTGCACTTTTCATGCCGAGGGGCTCCTGTCGCCTAGACGTGGAGTCGCGAGGGTCGCCCCCCCCCTTGCCCCACCACTTTGTGTGTGAGGGGACGTTTGCACCTTACCTTGCCTTAGGCGGCCAGCCGCCAGCGACAGCGCCAGGCCGGCGGCGGCGGGAGCGGCGGAGGGGGAGGGAGCGGCGGCGTCGGCGGCGGCGTCGGCGGCGGCGGCGGCGGCGGCGGCTGCGGTGGGTCCAGCAGCGGCGACGCAGGATCGAGCGGCGGCGTGGTCGACGTCGATTGCGCGGTGGACGCTCTCGTGGCGGCGGTGCTCGCTGGAGCCCCCCGCGCTGTGCAGGACCCCTGGGGCTGCCTTGGGCTGCAGCGGTTGACGGGCCGCGAGGCGAGCCGGAAGCGGTACCTGCAGCTGGTGCGGCGGCTCCACCCGGACCGGTGCGGCCACCCGCGCGCCGGAGAGTGCTTCGCGCTCGTCGAGGAGGCGTGGCGAGCCATCGAGGCGCGCGGGGAGGGCAAGCGGAGCGCCGGATAGCTTCGGCGACGTTACGTGGCCGTTCACCCCGCCGCTCCGCTCCGAGCTCGCGTGCCGCCGTCGGGCGCGTGCTGAGTTGCGCTTGGGACGCCTTCGGTGGCACGCTCGGCGGCGAGTTTGGCTTGCAGCTCCACAGCGGGCGCGGCGTCCGCGAGCTTGCGACTCGAGCCTACTCACTCCAGTTGGTTCTGCACACTCGGTGTGTCAGTGTGCAGAACGCGCGAGCGGTGCGTCCCGCGGCAGCCCCCGCAGCCACTGGGCTGCGGAGCTGCAACAAGGCTACGAACTCGAGACACAGACATTTTCGACGCTTTTGGCCCATATTACTCGCACAACGAGCCCTCCCTGGAACTGTTGCCCCAAGGACCCAGCTACGGCTCTACAGTAGCAGCGTCGACGTCGTCGATCACATGAGAGCGTGTGAGGGGCGCGAGACCCGAGACACCACAACAGAACAGCTCGAGCCTCAACACACAAGTCAAACAGCGTCAGCGAGAGAGCGCATCATCTCATCACCCATCTGGCTCACATCCGCCTGGGCACTGCGAGACACAGGGGACAGCGTACACAAGCAAGTTGGCCGGGGGACCGCAGAGTGCAGTGCAGTCGGCGGTGCAGAGCTCCCTGCCCGCGTCCGGAAGAGTGTCAGGCGTACCAGTGCGGCGGCTGCTCCGCGTCGGCGAGCATCTCGAGCTGCTCCGGCGTGAGCCGCTTCCTCGAGGCGGCCCAGTTGTCCTGAAGAGGGGTTGGGGGGAAGTGGGGGGGTGGGGGCTAGACGTTGGGGGAGGGGGGGGGGGGGGGCACGGCATTGGTCGGCGGCGCCTGGTGTGTGCGTTTGAAGTCAGCAAACACCCTCGAGACGGCAGCCTTGATGGGCTGCGGCTGCTGGGCGTGCCGCGCCAGCCGCTCGAGCACCTCTGGCAGCCACGAAGGCACGTCGTACGGCGCCAGCGCGACGAGGGCGGCGAGGCCGAGCACGCCGCCGTGCCTCTGCGCCAGCGGCGCGCCCCCGTTCTTGCGCTTCTTGAGGATGTTGTCGGCCCATGCGAGGAGGCGCCTGTGGGGAAGGGGCGAGAGAGACGGGTCAGGGGAAGGGGCGCGAGCATACGGCCGGTCCGCGCGGGCGGCGCCGGCGTGCGTGTGGCCCGTAGAGGCGCACGTAGCCCGCAACGACCGGCATGGCCGCCTCCCTCACCTCGAGCTGCGGGTCCACGAGCAGCTGGAGGAGCAGCGCCTGGATCGCCTCTTGCGGCGGCGGCTGCAGCGACGGCGGCGCGAACTGGCCGAGGTAGATCAGGTACTTGAGCGGAGGGAGCAGGCAGCCGCGCAGGTGCCACGAGGGCGAGGCGGAGAGGTCCTTGAGCAGCGCGAGGAAAGGGACGAGGAGCCCCGCCTCGAGGAGGGGGAGCTGCGCGAGCAGCACGGCGCACGCGCGGCCGGCGTTCGAGAGGTCGGGGTCGTTGATGCTCGCTGCGGTGGCGAGCGAGGCGCGCAGCAGCTGCTCGCCGTATGGCAGAAGCGCCTGCGGCCGGCCGTGCCATAGGCGGTGTCTAGGCGGTGTCTAGGAGGTGTCTAGGAGGTGTCTAGGAGGTGTCTAGGAGGTGTCTAGGAGGTGTCTAGGAGGTGTCTAGGAGGTGTCTAGGAGGTGTCTAGGAGGTGTATAGGAGGTGTATAGGAGGTGTCTAGGAGGTGTCTAGGAGGTGTCTAGGAGGTGTCTAGGAGGTGTCTAGGAGGTGTCTAGGAGGTGTCTAGGTGCCTGCGGCCGGCCGTGCCGCACGCAGCCGCGCACACACGCGAGCGCAACCACGCGCGCCGCCCGCGCCGAGGCTCGCTCACCCTCGTCCTCCGGCTCGAGCAGCACAACTCCGCCGCCGCCGTTGCCGCCGCTGGCGGCGTCGGGCGCGGCGTCGGCAGAACCGCGAGGAAGCCCCTCGAGGCGGCATGCGGCGAGAACCGAACGCAGCAGCCCCGCGGCCGCCGCGCCGATGCGCGCTGCGGGCTGCGGCTGGCCTAAGGTCATGTCCCGGACATGTCATGGACGTGTCCTGGACATGCCTCGACGCGGCGGGCTGCGGCTGGCCCGGCGGCGGCGGCGACGCGGCCTGCATCGACAGCGCGAGGAGCGCGCCAACCTCCTCCCGCACCTGCCGCGCGCCCGCGGTGACGGCGGCGGCGGTCGAGCCGCGGGAGAGAGTCGCCTCGGCCAGCTGCGGCCCGCGCCAGCGCAGCTCTGCCAGCAGCGGGGCGACGAAGCGCAACGCAGTCGCGTGCGACAGCGACGTCTCGTTCGCCGCCGCCGCGCTCTGCAGCCCGGCGAGGAGTGTGGCCGCCAGCCACGAGAGGCGGCGCGGGTCCTATGGGAGATATGGGGGAGACATGGGGGGGATATGGGGAGATGGCCACGAGAGGTCGGCGCGAGTCCCTCGATGCAGACGCGAAGCGCAGGAAAGACTGCGCCGTGCCGACGCTCTCGACAGGGCACGCGCGGAGCGCGGCGCCGAAGCCGCCGCCCGAGAGCTCCTATGGGGAGATACAGGGGAGATACAGGGGAGAGATGGGGAGAGATGCCGAGCCCGCCCCTCGAGAGCACCTCGTGCAGCCGTCGCTCGTCGTCACGCGGCCAGCTGCCGGCGGCGCGGAGCACGCCGCCGAGGAGCTCGAAGCCAACCGCGAGCGAGTCACGCCTCGCACCCGCCGCGGAGAGCGAGAGGGCCGTCGGCAGCAGCAGCGGGCGGATGGGCGGGCCGTAGTGCGCCGCGAGCCGCTCAAAGAGCCGCGCGGCGCCGAGCGAGAAGTCGGCGCCGCCCTGGCCGTGGGCGTCGGTGCGGGGCCAGGAGCGGCCCGCCTGCGGGTACATGCGTGTGTGCGTGTGCGTGTGCATGTGCATGTGCATGTGCATGTGCGTGTGCGTGTGCGTGTGCGTGTGCGTGTGCGTGTGCGTGTGCATGTGCGTGATGTGCATGTGCGTGTGCGTGCGTGTGCGTGTGCGTGTGCGTGTGCGTGTGCGTGTGCGTGTGCATGTGCGTGCGCGTGCGCGTGCGCGTGCGCGTGTGCATGTGCATGTGCATGTGCATGTGCGTGGGGCAGAGCCCAAGCTGGCCAAGGGGAGGCGGGGCCCAGGGCGGGAGGCAGGGGGGGGGGAGGGGGGGGGGGGGTCCCGCCTCGACGGTGGCGCAGATGACGTTGTGCGGCTCCGCGGCCGCGGTGCGCGCCGCCAGCGCGCCGGCCGTCTGCGCAGAGCCCTCGTCCGCCTCCTTGTGGTCGACCACGAGCCACGCGGCGGCGCGAGCAAGGTAGTCCGGCTGCAGCAGCAGCGCGTCCGCCCGCGCACCGAGCGGCGAGTGCAGCCCGCCGGGCGGCATCAACTCGCCGGGTGGCGCGGCGGCGGGCTGGCTGCCATCGGCCGGCGACGTCGTCGGCGGCTCCGTCTCCATCGCCTCGCCCCCCGAGGGCTCGCTCCCCGAGAAGGCCGCGCCCCACCCGTCGCACACGTCGTCGCGCCAAGCGTCGACGGGGGAGTACGGCAGCTGCTGCGGCAGCGGCGCCGCCCCGCCGTCGGCCTCCATCGCCTCGCCATCGGCAAACAGCGGCGGCGGCGCCTCCGCGCTGCTCTTGGGCGGCGGCGAGGAGGGCGGCCGCAGCAAGACCGCGAGGACGGCGCGGCCCACGCGGCGCACTGCGGCGGCGGGCGAGCAGAGGGCTCGTGTGGCGAGCAGGGCGAGGCTCTGCCGCTCCGTCTCCTCCTCCACAGGAAGCACGAGCAGCGAAGAGAGGGCGGTCACCTCCCGGCTCCAGTGCGCCTCGCCGTCGGCCGCCGAGGCGTTCGCCTAATGAACGAATCAACTAATGAGCTAATGAACTCATCAGGCCTCGCCGCCGGCCGCCCAACCGCGCGCCTCGCCGCCGCCGCCGCCTTCGCCGCCGCCCTCGCCCGCCGAGGCCGAGGCGGTCGAGACAGAGGAGGCGCGCGCGAGGATGGCCGCAAAGGCCGCGGCGCGCGCCGCCTCGATGGACGACGCCCTTGCGGCGAGGCACGCCTAATCAGCTAATTCACTAATCAACGAATGAACGAATTCTGATGGAGGGCGCCCTTGCGGCGAGGCACGCCTCGAGTGCGGCCCGGCCCTCGGCCCGGCCCTCCTGCGCCTCCGCCGCCGCCTCGGCGGGCGCCTCGGCGGGCGCGCCGAGGCGGGGCGCGAAGGTCGCGGGCGCGGGGACGTGGCGCAGCACGGCGGAGAAGGCGGCGCGGATGAGGCGCGAGAGCTTGTGGAGGCCTTAATTAGTTCGTTAGCTAGTTAGTTAGTTAATTCGTCAATTTTAACTAACTAAGGCGCGAGAGCTTGTGGAGGCCGTGGTCGCGCGAGTTGGCGAGGGCGGCGAGGAGGGCGCAGAGGAGGGCCGGCTCGCGAGCCTAACACGCAGCGGGCGGGAGGTGGGCGCCGCCGTGCGCAGAGGGGGCGCGCGAGGGCGCCGCTCGCGCCACGGTCGCCGAGACGCGCGCCGACGAGAGGAGGTAGGCGGCGCCCTTGGCCTGAGGAGTCGAGGATGGCAACCAATGAGTGTTTCGTTATGATGAACGGAGCAGGCGGCGCCCTTGGCCTCGTGCGGCTGCGCCGCCGCGTCGCTCAGCGGGCCGATGATGGAGGGCAGCTGCCTCGCCGCCATCCACGGGTGGCGCGAGAGCGCGGCCTTGTACCCGTCCTGCGCGAGCGCGCGCACCTTGGAGTACCGGTGCGTGCAGAGGCGTTAATTACTTGATTGGTCAATTAGTTGATTGTTAACGAGCGCACCTTGGAGTACCGGCGCGTGCAGAGGCGTTAATTACTTGATTGGTTGATTAGTTGATTGTTAACGAGCGCACCTTGGAGTACCGGTGCGTGCAGAGGCATTAATTACTTGATTGGTCAATTAGTTGATTGTTAACGAGCGCACCTTTGAGTACCGGTGCGTGCAGAGGCGTTAATTACTTGATTGGTTGATTAGTTGATTGTTAATGAGCGCACCTTGGAGTACCGGCGCGTGCAGAGGCGTTAATTACTTGATTGATTGATTAGTTGATTGTTAACGAGCGCACCTTGGAGTACCGGTGCGTGCAGAGGCGTTAATTACTTGATTGGTCAATTAGTTGATTGTTAACGAGCGCACCTTGGAGTACCGGTGCGTGCAGAGGCGTTAATTACTTGATTGGTCAATAAGTTGATTGTTAATGAGCGCACCTTGGAGTACCGGTGCGTGCAGAGGCGTTAATTACTTGATTGGTCAATTAGTTGATTGTTAACGAGCGCACCTTGGAGTACCGGTGCGTGCAGAGGCGTTAATTACTTGATTGGTTGATTAGTTGATTGTTAACGAGCGCACCTTGGAGTACCGGTGCGTGCAGAGGCGGAGCTGCATCTCGAGGAGCGGCGCCAGCGCGGGCTCGCGCGCCGCCGCGCCGTGCGCCGCGGCCGAAACGCGGTCGGCGTGCCGAGCGGCGAGCTTGAGCGCGACGATGGCGCGGGGCGAGTGCGCGTTTGCGCCCGCGCCGCACAGCTCCGCCGTGTGCCTCGCCGCGTAGAGGTACTGCCGCGGCAGGCCGAGCAGCGGCGAGGGCCGCTGCTCGACGACCACCCTGGCGACGCGGAGCAGCTGCAGCAGGTTGCGGCCGCCTAATCAACTAATAAACTAATTAACTAATTAGCTAATTAACTAATTCGCTGCAGCAAGTTGCGGCCGCCCTCGCTCGCGCCGAGCGCCTCGCCGAGCGCGCACGCCACCGCCGCCAGCCGCGCGCGCACGCCGGGCATCGACACGCGCCCGCTCGCGGGCAGCGCCTGCCTCAGCCGCGGCAATGATCTCGGCTGATCTCGCTTGATCTCGGCTGATCTCGGGTGAGATGCCGATCGCCTGCCGCAGCGGCGGAAGGCCGGCGAAGGCAGCGTCGGCCTCGGGCAGCTCGGCCAGACACGCGCCTACGGGTGCGCGCCTCCCGCAAGGCTCGGGCGAGG